AAGCCTCGAGCACCGGGCTCAGCTCCCCGTGCGGGCCGTGCCTCCTGGGCTGTGCCCTCGGCACCCGAGCACGGACACGGCTCTTCAGCACCTGCGGCCCCTTGCACAGGGATGGCCAGTGCCTCTGGCAGAGCCCGGCAAGTTTGGCAGGAGCGAACGTCGCGCCTCTCCCTGGGTATCAGGATTTAAACCCCAGCAAGGAATAAAAGAATAAAACGTGCGCTTTTCCCCGTTCTGCCCGCGCCCGCCGGCCCCTTCCTCTCCCCACCAGGGCCGGGGACAGGCGGCGCTTCCGGCGCGGGGGCGCTGCGGCCGCAGGGGGGCGGTGTGCGGGGCCGCTGCTCCCTCAGGGCCGCGGGGGAAGGCGGCCGGGGCCTCGCCCGGCTCGGGCTGCGAGCTGCGCTTGGCCGCAGCGAAACGAGCAGCTGGCAGGATGGCCGGACGGGTCACCCCCATTTTACCCTCCGCAGAGCGATTTTTTTACTCGGTCCTTTCCATCTCTTTGCACCTGGTGGTGAAAACTTGCTGCTCGTTCAGCGTATTCACGCAATTAAGGAGTTTTTATCATCGCTGATCTGTAAAATCTATTTAAAAATCTCTTCAGAGATCAAGGGGCCTTGCTTGTTGACTGATCATCCTGAAAAAACAATCTAAATAGCCTGAACAGTTCTGTAAGCAGTGTGTGTCTGTGAGGGGTGCCTTCTAGGGAAACCTGGATGAGCCCTCACCTCAGGGCTGCTGCAAACGAGGATGGGTGGTAGATTCCTTTTAACTCTTCCTCCCCAGCAGTTCTTAGTCATTAACCAGGTGCACCGACTTCAAAGGGGACAAATACCTGGTGGGCTGAGAAAAAGCTTCAATCTGGGAGGTGGTTTCCCTCATGTGCTGTCTGATGGGTTTTGTTGATTTAAAATACTAGAATAGAGCAAATAACGTGACCTTTATGTATTAAAACCAGCTTCTCTGTATTGGCCAACATTTTTTCAGGAAAATGCTGAGTAATGTTTCATAATTTATCACTTTTACTGGTTTCTCTTATATCTCAATGTAAGTTCAGGTTCTGGTAATCTCTGTGGAGAGCCTTCTTGTTTAGTACTGTGATGGTGATAGCTGTCATTACTTGGAGAAATAATTTCTTGCATTCTGTCTCCATAAAGGCAATAGGATTTTGAACAGTTATTGGGAATATCTGCGTTGTGGAGCCATTGAGCAACATTTCAACAGTGCATACAGAGACACAGTGGCAGAAACAGGATAAAAACCCTGTGTTATCCTTGGTGGTTAAAATACAGTTTTCTCTGTCCCAGAGGAGTTTAACTACAAATACCTTCTCTGTGCAGTTGGTAACTCCACATTTGGATTGTATTTGATGAAAAGCTGTGCAGTTATGTAGCTCTGATCAGCATAAGAAGTGTACGCAACAGTTCTGACCTCTGATGGTCAGAAAAAGCAGTATTATCTGAGGCACGTTTTGAGATGCTGATATCCTAGTTTGTGAGAATGACACTGAAAAAATATAAACAACCTGGTCCACCTTAATTTTTTACACTAGTTATCTTGTCTCCACCCCAAGTCATAGGGAAGATGGTTTTTAATGATACTTCCAAGTGAAATGGAGGGAAAAGAACATACTTTTAAAAAAATTCTTGTATTTAAAGTCTTTAGAGGGTCTAAATGTCATTTGAATTCCTTTAAAAGGTTGTTGAAAGAGGAATTTGAGAAGGAAGGAGCAGAGACACTGTAGAAGCTTTAGAGAAGTTTAACTGTGTTCCATGCTGGTTCAGGAACTCCTGTTTGTAATTGTTCTGTCATTTATTTTAACTACACAGAAACACAAAATGTTAAGTTTTCTATCTGGAGATGAGGAGAGGGAGCAATTTTTGAGTTAAGAAGTTATCTTTTGGGGTGGGACTGAGGATGCTGTCTTTCTTATTGCAGGCAAAACGAGCAGTACAGCGAGGAGCCACAGCGGTCATCTTTGATGTTTCTGAAAACCCAGATGCCATTGATCAGGTATGAAGCAATGTCAGGCAGGAAGCAATGTAGGTGTTGGGAACCTGGTAGAAAGGGAAAACATTGGGGAGTTAGATTTTTCTTCTAGCTTTTGCTAGAATCCAGGTCTGGGATTACGGTTTTGAAAGAGGATGGAGGCAATTTTTTGTGGCCCATTATCTAATCAAGGAAGTTTTCTTTGCCCAGCTCTGTGTACAAAACACAGGATGTTTGGCTCTATCCAGCCTGTGATCAATAGTGTTGTTGAGCAGCTGCTGTTTTTGAGATTGCGAAATGACTTTCAAACCTGATTCTAAACAAGTTTCTTTTTAAAACATAACCATTTCTTTCTCATTTACAGCTGATGATTTCTGCCTATGTATTTTGTGGACAACCAGGGTTTTTTTTCTTTTTCCAAGTCTTGTTATAACTTTCATCTTTTTATTTGAAGTGGGTGAGGTAATAGCCCTATGAAAGGCTTTAACACACTTCAGTCAATTCTGAGTTATTTCAGTGAAGAAACATAAGCACAAAAATAGTCTGCATTTGGTTTAGTTCTGTTTTGTCTTGAAACAACACTGCTGTTTCTGTTACAGCAGAAACAAGTGGAGCTGAAGGTTTTTAAGTGCAGCCTATATTTCTTGGGGGAAATGAGAGATCATCAATGTTTACATTAAAAAAGCTGGCTTTAATTCTGAAGTGAGCATCTGTTGGACAAAGGAATCAGAAGACCCTGTGCAATGGATGCTTTGAGTACTGTGGTCTCCATGTGCATCAAAGTTGCAGCCTTGATCTTGAAAACATTCACAGGGATATTTTTTTTCCCCTTTTCTACACAGGAAAAATATCTTCACAAAGATGTGATCTGTTTTTTTCTGTTTTTTAATTCTGTGTTACAGCTTCTGGTTACTTTCAGCCACCCTGCTCTGGACTTGGGAAGCTGAGTTACTGTCTCTTGCTCTTTACCTTCTAACAGCAGCAGCAGCTTTCCTTGCTTGATTATAAACTGGGTGCGTCTGTCCCCAAGAGCTGGGAAACTAGTTTAGTGGGTATTTGAATATTTCAGGTGTACCAATAAAGTGGAAGAAGGTTAGTGGCTTAGAGCAGTAGCTGACAGAGTAAGTAGGCTCTGTTAGATGAAAGAGCAGTAGCCTGTGGGAACACTGGCAAACAGGAGAGAAATGACTGGATGTAGCTTTCATACTCTGAAAGTAACAGTTACTGGATTGGCTCTGTTCTCATGCTGCTCTGGATGCTTGTTTTTAATGGATTTTGATTCTCATTTAAAGTCTTCAGAACCCTTAACATCAGGAGTGCTAAGTAATTTGTCTTGAAAATAAGTACCATTTTGGCAGTCGTAAAGGAATTGTGGAAGACCATGACAGATAACAGTGGAGGGAAAACTGACATGAGGTAATCTGAAGTATCTTTGGTTCAAATGGAAATATCCTCAGACACTAAGGGGAGCTGTTTAGGAAGTTTTCTCATGTATGCTTGTTACCAAGCACTAGAACAAATAAGGGAGATTGCTTTGAAAGGGAGGAGTGGAGTATTATGAAAGGCAGTCCCTCCTTCCAGTCAATGAACAGAAATTGGAGGCAGGCCTGACCAGAAGAGTTGTCCTCAGATAATTTGGTAGATGCCAAATGAAAGGACTTTGCCTAAATGGGGTTTATTCCCATTGATCTGAGTATCTTCTGCTGTAAATTAAGAATGAAACTTTTGTTTTTAGAAACACCCTTTGAAGTCTGACTTGTTTCTTAGTTTTACTTTTGCCTATTTGAAGACAAGTAACAGCACCCAGAGCATCATGTTTAGCAAGAATCTGACAATGTGCAAAAATGACTGAGGAGCTGGGAGAATTCTCTCTTAGATGAGAAATCATGAGAGAGTATGTGTCTGGGAGCAGGACAGTGCTTAGATTTGGCCCTAGGCCAACAAGGCATGTAGACACATAGGATGCCTGAATACTTCAGCTAGTTTTTAGGTCATCACAAGATACCTGCCTTAAAAGTAGTTTGCTCAGTGTTCTCAGAAAATCCATCAAATACTAGGGAGAATCAGTTTTTAAGTCTCAATGAAATCTGTTATCATCACCTGGTCAGTTTAAGTAGAGTCCTTTAATCAGGATGATGGACCAGTCAGCTGGTAATTTCTACATGGTTTAGCCAGAACTAACAGGTAGCTATCAACAATGCAGATATGTTAATCTCAGCTATAAGATACTTTTATTCTATTTGCTCACACTCCTGTCATCTCATTCCTTTCCCCTGTACCATTTCCATCTGCTTGTCAGTGCACTGTTTGTTTTGTATCAACCATCCTCTGTACTTGTGTTTTTCTTGTAAGTCAGAATAAGCTAGATGAATTTATTGTGTTGGTGCCATTTTTTAACAGAACAGTTCTCTTGTCTAGTTATTACTCTCTCTGGTATATAATTTAGCAGATTGTTTTTCTGGATTTGTTGGCCAGAGAAGTTGCACATTATCTACACTTGAAGGTGTTCAACATCTATCTAAATAAAGCCATAAGAAGCCTGATTTGATGTCATAGTTGACCATGCCTTGACCAGGAGGTTGGGCTCATGACATGCCTTCCCACACACATTATTTTCTGATTCTATGATCTGGCCTTTTTGACAAAACATAGCTGGATGTGGAAGGAAGTTTCAGGGTGAATTGTGTAGTCTACTGAAATACTTTACTCTTTGAGGCCCCTCATCCTGTAGTCAATAGGTCTCATGGTTGCTAGAACTCAAGTAATTTTGAATGAGTTTGTAGAGATAAACATCAGAAGTTACTAACTTAACTTGGCTAGGTACAAAGAACCTGAAAGGCAGAACTCTGATATGAGATTGTTCAGAAAGCTGAATAGATTTATATGTGAATAATGTTGAAATTGAAAGATTGATAAAATGTAGCAGGGACAATTTCTTTGGAATGTGCAGATTTTTATTCTTCCTCATCGTGAGGTTTAACATTACAGTATTGATATCTGCACTGATACATAATGCAGCCAAGTTAAAGCTGCTGTTCAGAAATAGCATTTGCTTATCCTTAATCTTAGTTTTGGTCCGTAAAAGAAAATAAGGCAGCATAAGTCAAAAGTTCAATTCAGGTTTAATTCTGTAGAATACTTAACTAAAGGTCTGTGGTAGAAGGGAACAATTGGTGCTTGAAATCAATTCCACATTCATACTCCTTAACCATTCTCTGCATTGTTCAGAAGGAAAGTGGTTATCCTGAAACATGCCTTTTGATCAGACTCTTTTCTTTTGTTCTAGCTGAACCAGGGCTCAGAGGACCCTCTGAAGAGACCAGTGGTGTATGTGAAAGGTGCTGATGCTGTCAAGCTAATGAACATAGTTAACAAGCAGAAAGTGGCACGGGCCAGGATTCAGCATCGCCCCCCACGGGTGAGACTTTCAGATCCTTTCTCTGGGTATCACAGTGCTATTGTTACTGCAGGCAGGGCTTGCTCACTGCACTGGGGGTGAAGATGTTTTGATGCTCCTTATGTGCATTAATACATGTGAAATTCTATTGACCTAAATCAACTGAGTAACTGCGCTGTGGACAAGCAGCTGCACTTGGTGTAAGTATGGAATCCACAATGTGGCATCTGCTGTCTTTCAGAAGGATGCTTTTGAGTATAGAAATGGCTAAAAAAATTACACAGTAGAAGTTTTTCTTGATTTAGTAACTTAGTTATTGTACACTCCTGATGGTTCAGTTTTGGAAGGTGGCTTGCCCTATGTTAACTAATAATTCTGTGTAGTATTTTAAACATGGATGAAGTATGATATTATCTGGGAATATAAAATAGTTTCTCTAGACTTTTTTTTCCTGATACTCTAAATACAGCTTACAGAAGAACAAAACTAGAGGTCATCCATGTCCCAGTTACCACTTTGGTCTTGGGGTTTATTTTGTTTTTTTTTCTTTAATGGAATCCTTTTGTTAAAAAATGTATTTGAGAAGTGGGCCATTTTTTTGAAAATTCAGATGTTGATTTTCAGTCACTTATGTGCATAAGCAACCCAGTAAGCTATAAGAATTTGTTTTGGTGTGATTCACTGAGTTAAAAAACCTGGATTTTGCAGTTCAGAGACTGTAAACTTGACATCTCATGATTGGCATTCTGTGTATTCCATTCACTTGCAGTGGCACGTGAAACACAGATTTTGTCTCATAGAATCCCAGTTAATGAACAGAACAATGTGTACTCTGACTTCTGCCATTCTGACCATGTACAGTTGGCAATGGCTTCTGAGAAGTTAGAAAGAAACAACAGATTTGAGTATGATCTAAAGGAAGGAAAAATAATGCCTTTGTTTTAATTTTTAAGCAACCCACCGAGTACTTTGATATGGGAATTTTCCTGGCCTTCTTTGTGGTTGTGTCTCTTGTTTGCCTCATTCTTCTCGTCAAGATCAAACTGAAACAGCGACGTAGTCAGGTAAGAACAGTAATGGGAATTCACCAAATGCTGAAAGTTAGCTTCTCTTACTTTGTCTTAAAATGTGCTCACAACTTTTGGAAATGCAGGACGCTCACTTATAACTGCCATCTTGGTGGCTCTGTGGTTTTATCCATGTGTGTAGGCCTTTGGAAGAACTTGGAAATATCTTTAAAGGACATTTACATTGACCTGTGATGTTTGTTCAGTTAAATCCTGAAGTGAAAACAGTACAGAAGCAGTCTCCTTAGCCACTGGGAAGAAAGAACATTTCTGGTTGTTCATAGGTTATCAGCAGCACTGGTATGCTTCTAAATGAGTCCAGACTCTCGCTGCTGTATTGTGGAGAGGATCGAAAACAAATCATAAATCTTTTCAATAGGATAACATCTATTGAAATGGGGGGGTTTTCAAGGTAAAAAGTTTAGTTAGGAGAAATTCCAGGTGACATACTTTATTTGTCTGTACTCCAGTTTGTACTGGAGGAAATGATACAGCTAACTTAAAATATTTCATTTCAGTCCCTTTCTCAAGTATTGCTCCAGGTAATATGGTGATAACAGCATATTGGGGCATTACAGTCAATACTGACATAGAAGAAAAAGTTCCTGGCCAAGTTTTATATGTTGGCTTGAGTAGTTGCTGCTTATCAATTGAGCAGTTGCAGTGTATCCCATTTGTCAGTACCTTCACCCAGTTCTAATTCAGAGTAGTTTGTCATTCTCACTTCTGCATGTGGCATACATTCTTTTCATGAGGCTTCTGATCTGAATTCTAATTAGCCTTCTCTTTGTTTAATTTAAGAAATTATACATCAGTTGGGCCTGACATTTAAGATATGTAATGGTGGTGTTTCTCTGCTCCTGCACTCTAGTCCCTTACACAGCAGCATTGGCTTTTTTTTTTTCCTTTTTTCTTTTCTTTTTTTTTTTCCTTTCTTCTCATGTAGAATTCCATGAACAGGCTTGCAGTGCAAGCACTGGAGAAAATGGAGACCAGGAAGTTTAAGTCCAAAAGTAAGGGACACCGAGAAAGTAACTGTGGAGCACTGGATACACTCAGTAGCAGCTCCACCTCTGACTGTGCCATCTGCTTGGAGAAGTACATTGATGGGGAGGTAAAGGATGAAAGGTTTCTTCACCATGGGCTGGGAATGGAGGTGGTTTTAGCACTGTGGTACGTGGCTGGCTGTTGGGTACATTGTGTGCTGAGGTGGTGCAGTTTGTCAGTTTGATCACACCGAGCAGCCAACTTTGCCTCAGCTGCATCCTGCAGCTCTAAATTATCCATGCTCCAAAGTGAGAGGTGCAGGATCCCATTTGCAAGTCGCTAGCTCCACTGTTCTTGCATTTCTGAAGAACAAGTCACAAAGAAGTCAGGGTTGCCTCAGCAGTTGTTTCTCTGGGTTAATTTGACAAGTCATGCACAAAGATGATCCATGCAAGCTCCATTGGAGGTAAGGAATATCTGTAGCATTTTGCTTTTCAAGATTTGATGGCACCCTGTCTTAAAAATGTCAAGTACACAGCACTGCTAAGGAACTAGAGGAGGAGAAGGAAGAGAGGTCAAAACATTCAGCAGCAGTTTTTTGATTCCTCAGTTACTATCACTGTATTGATATCAGGGCTTGGTGTCCATGACAGTTCTACCCAGGGGAAGCAACGAAAGAAGGGGTGAAATAGAAAATGGGCTTCTTAAAATAAATAAAATAGAGGCAGTCAATATTCACAACTCTCAACTTCCATTAGAAAGATTGTGTGAGGACATTTTATTTTGAAATTATCCACAAAAGAGTCATAATTTTTAGGGCAATAGAAAATACCAGCTGCATATTTGAGTGCTGCAAGGTACAAATAGAAAGTTTAATGAAGTTAGTTGATGGGAAATTATTAAGAGTAGCAAGGATTAAGGGAGACAAGGACTTGAAAAGAGTTGTACAGACTGACTGGAGAGGAAATTCAGACATGAACTTCAGCTTGAAGTGAGACATGGGGAAGAGCTTCACATGTATCGGGGATGGGTTGGGAACTGAGCATTGCTATTCAAGAACAAGAACTTGCTGCTTTAGATAGCTTTGTGAAAGCAAATTGGTGGCAGTTTAACTGCTTTGTGGCAGTTGAAAAGGCAAATCAGATACTAGATATGAGATGGGAAAGGCTAGAGAACTGAACAGAAAACATAATTACACCACAGTGTAAGTTTTGTCATGTTCTCACTTTGAGTACTGTGCACTTCTGACCTCACCTCACAAAAGATACAGAATGGAATCAAAGGTGCTTCAGGAAAGGATAGTCACAAAATGGTCAAATATTTTGAATGGTTTCTGTAAAAAAAAAACCAAATGATTGAGTCGGCTCTTTAGACACAGATTACTTGGGGACAGCAGGGAATACAAAGTTGTGTGGTGTTTCTCCACCAGGAGGTAGTAGTTCTGTGGAACTCCTTCCAAAGCATGTTAGAAATAAAAAACCTAAGCTCATGGGGAGACATGAACAGAACTTGGAAGGAAGATTTGTTGCAGGTTTCTGAGACATCCATCAGGCTCAGAAAATCCTGTAAACAGATCATAGCTGAAGGATAAGAGTCCTGGGCAAGGGAAAAAGTATCATAAACTGTCTTGGTTTTGCTGTTACCTGAGTGTTTTTCATTGCGAATAATTGTAGGAAAGGTACATCATTACTCTTGATTTTTTTTTTTTAAAGTACATTTAATATATTAAGGAAAACTTTGGTGATGGCCTTCTTAAAGGTTTTGGGTCATACAAAAAGTGTCCTAAAGAAATGTCCTATATCTGCATGGAGTTCTAAGGTGCCTGCAGACTATTCTTTTAGAGACAGCTGATCACTAGCTGTTGTGCTCTTGGCTGTCTTGATGCCATTTTTTTCCTTCTTAGCACTTCAAGACTAGGAATTGCTCCATTTAGTAGCCAGATTGAAAAAACTAGGAACAAGCTGTGAAAAGGAAGAGTTGTTAAGAGGAAGTGCTTTTTCATGGTCCTTCATCTGTTTCTTTAGGAACTGCGTGTCATTCCTTGCACTCACCGATTCCACAAGAAATGTGTGGATCCTTGGCTGCTGCAGCATCACACCTGCCCTCACTGCCGCCATAACATCATAGGTAAGTGCTGCGGTGTGGATGCTCTGGTGTGTTGTTTATTTCAGACAACATAAAAGGTGAAATTAAAATTGTGCCTCTTTGTGAATCTCCATGGAGCTCTCAGTTGTTATTGTAACACAGCCCTGGAAATACAGTTGGCCCCAAACTCTTTGAGAGCAGCTGAGTGCCCCTGGCATAACCTTGGGGTGGGGATGATGCCCAGCTGAGGGCAGTGTTGTGCAGCCCTGAGTGCAAGGATATGTTTTCCCTCGGGAATTACAAAGAAAACAGTGTATGGGCTTTTATTTTTCCATGGTCTTGTAATTTGGAATGTGGTTTCCCTTACTTGCCCTCTTCCTGCTTTCATTTCCTCTGTCTTAAGAAAGTTTTCTGTCGCTGCACATTTATATAAAAATGTGTAAAGTGACAATTTGAGCAATGACTTCCAGTCTCAGCCTCTGCAAGATGTAAGCAAAAGATTTTGTATACATGAGAACAGTATCTGAAATAAATTCACTTCTTTTGCTTTTTAAGCAAATACATTTTGAGTGTTTCAATGGTTTCCAGACATGCTTTTGACTTTTGTTTTGCTCTTATTTCCTTCTGTGTAAAAAAATTGGTGCATAATGTAATGACACGGGGAAAAAAAATATCCTTCTTTCTTGCATAAACTATATTCCATTTTATTCCCTACTATTTCTACTTCTCCATTCTTATTTCTCTCATTCAGAACAGAAGAAGGGGAATGCAGCTCCAATCTGTCTGGAATCCATCAACCCAGCACGCGGCCGGCAGCAGAGGGTGATTCTGCCTGTCCACTACCCGGGCCGAGTGCACAGGGCGAGCCAGATAACAGCGTATCCCACTCGGACAAGCATGGACCCTCACGGAAACCCCATCACCTTGCTGACAGTTGAGCGACACGGTGAACAGAGCCTCTACCAAACCCCGTCCCCAGCCTATATTCGCAGTTATCAGCCCATTCATTTGGACCATGCTTTAAACACACATCACTGCAGCCTGGAGCACAGGGCTTACTCTCCAGCTCACAACTTCCGAAGACCCAAGTTTGGTGGACGCAACTTTTCCAAAGCGGCGTGCTTTTCCCGATACGAGACCATGTATCAGCACTACTACTTCCAAGGCCTTAGTTACCCTGAGCAAGATGGACAGCTTCCAGCTGGCATTTCCTCAAAGGGTCCTTCCCGTGCCTTTCAGCCTGGTAGCAGCATGCTTTTCCCTCCTGTGGTACATGTAATGCCCTCGTCCCGCTTGGAGAGTGGCAGTACCTCCAGCTTTAGCTGCTATCACGGTCATCGCTCAGTGTGCAGTGGGTATTTGGCTGACTGCCCCGGGAGTGACAGCAGCAGCAGCAGTTCTGGTCAGTGCCACTGCTCCTCCAGTGATTCCATGGTTGACTGCACCGAGGTCAGTAACCAGGGGGTTTACGGGAGCTGCTCCACCTTCCGCAGCTCTTTGAGCAGTGACTATGACCCGTACGTTTACCGCAGTAGGAGCCCTTGCCGAGCGGGTGAGGTTGGTGGTGCAAACAGGGGTGCAATTGTGCTTTTGGAGGGCCCCCACCAGGACGAGCTTCCAGCTCACGGTCATGGTATGGTGGGTGCTGACTGCCGGCCTGTGCCAGCTTCTTCCTCAGGGGACCAACTGTCTAATTGCAGCATGGATATGAACTATAGCAGTAATTCCTCACTAGAGCACAGGGATCCAAATGGCACTACCTCAGAGGGAGGACCTGAGGCCGCTCCTGGTGCTGCCTTGGATGTTAAAAGGAACTGGAAGAATCCAGAGATAGCAGGGTCGATTTCAGAGCAGGCATGCGCATGCTGCTTTGAATTCCAGCACTCTGCCCTGGAGCCTAGCAGTGGGACAGCTGACTGTAGTGCACTCTTCCTTAGCTCCCCTCTTTGGGGGACATGTGGCCAAGGAATTGAACCACAGTCAGGGAACACCCCAGGCTTGTACAGTATTAACTCAGACCACTTACATAGGACAGATGGGGTAAAATATGAGGGGTTGCCCTGCTGCTTCTATGAAGAGAAGCAGGTAGCCTGTAGTAGCAACAGTGGCAGTGGAGGTGGTGGCTGCTATACAGAAGACTATGCAGTGAATGTGCAGTACACGCTTCCTGATGACACCATGCCAAACTGCTGTAAGGGTGTATGTGATCTGGGTCAACGCATTCCCATAATTCCTGAAGACAGAGACTGTGAGCTGATTCTACCGCCAGAGCACCAAGGGACCCACATAGGAGGCTGTAGCTCCTGGGATGGAACACCTGAGCTAGACACTTACCTGCACTGTCAAGGTATTGGAGAGGTACAGGTCGAGAGGGAGGTGTGCTATGAGGCATCATCATTCCTGCGGCAGAACTACTCTCAGGAGGAGGAAACTGGAATGCCCTTTCCCAGTCCCACTCTGAACTCACAGAAGCTTATGATGACCACAAAGGCCACAGGTAACATATGTGCTTCTTTTGATGACTTGCTACCTTTCTGTATTAGTGTATGAAATGCTGCCAGCTACCTAGGTACCTGCAGCCATAAAGGTTACTCTGTCCTTCACATAAGGGCAGGTTATTGAGTAATCATTCACCCCAAAGGATTATTCCCTGGTTACCTGTTCTCATTTGGTCAAAGCTGAGGAGGAGATGATAGCTTACTAATTAACCCTATAAAAGCTTTCATGCTCATCTTTTGTGGGGAGGGGCCTGCATTTGAGTTCCCACAGCAAGGGACATGGTGCTAGTTATGGCAGCTGTGGTGAGTTGCCTAAGCAGGCAAGGCCACTGTGAGAGACAACAGATAAGGTGAAGGGTTTTTTTTAAAAAAAGGTGAAAATCTTTGCCATAGAAGAGTATGTGGGAAAGTCTCTGCTGTGGACGTAGACAAGGGGGAAAAAATAACCACTCGCAGAAAGTGAGGGATATTTCTTACCTGCCTTGCCAGGGTTATTTTAAAGGGTGTTGATGGAATCACAAGGTGGTCTAGTTTGGAAGGGCCGTAATCTAGTCCAACCTCCTGCTCTAAGCAGACCAAGCTGAGACCAGATTTAGTCAGACCAAATTTATCCAGTCAGGCTGGTTAAACCTTCAGGGACACAGAGTGCAGTCCCTTTCTGGACTCCTGTGGCTGTGCTTGACTGCCATTATAGTCAAAAGATTTTCCTTGTATCCAGTCTGAACATCTCAACTTAATTTCCTCACCTCTTGTTCAGAATGCATGTCTGTGAAGACTGTGGTTTCATGACTGGGACAACCTCCATGTAGTTATTGCAAAGCTGCTAGGGATGCCTTTACTGCAGGCTGAACAGCCCAGATCCCTCAGCCTCTTCACACCAAGTGCTCCAGCCCTCTGAGCATCTTGGCTCTCTGTGAAACTCCAGTCAGTGAGTGTCTTGTTCTGGGGGCCCAAAACTGTATGCAATATTCTAGCTGCAATGTTCCTTAGTTTTCTTTATCCTTTAGGTGCTGGATCTCATCCCTTGGAGAGGAGCCAAATGAGTGACTAGACCTGTCCAGATGATCCCAGATGGAGAAGCGGAGCTTATCAGAGACTCCAAATTCTCATGGACTTAATTTTTTTTAAGCTTTGACAAACACACAAAAGTGGTAATGTGGAGAAGTCCCTCCCCTGCTTCCTCTGTGTTCACATCAGTTTGATTGTCTCCTTTGTCCCTCCTGCCTGAAGCCTTCAGGCCTTGATTTGTGTGCAAAGCCCATGTGGGACATGGTGTGGAGCATTTCTGAGCTCTAGTGCCATTTCTATATTAATGACAAAGTGTTATTTATATTTTCTTTTTAGAAGTGACCTCTTGCTGAGAGGTAACACAGTGTGTTAAATAAGCCAGGCTATGTGTAGATGCTGTTATCTCCTACTTGAAGGAGTCCAGCCTTTGATAAGCTCAGGGCTACACCTGCCTTAGAAACCAGATAGCACCTTGAAATATAGTAATCCAGAGGGATACAGCTGCTGAATGGATGCTCAGATACTGACTAATCCCAGTAGCAAATCCTAGCAGCCAGCAAGTTACGAGAGCGATTTTTGAGGGAGGTGAGGCATTGGACTGTCTCCTTTCTCCTCTTCCCTTCTCCCCCCTTTCATGCTGCCCTGATGGTTTGGCTAGGAAGGTGTCCTGCCATTAGGATTAGTTTCAACAGAGTGGGGGTAAGGAAGCTGATAGCTCAGAATGTTCTCATCCTCACTTCCTGTATTTAAACTGTGGACCTCATTGTATCTTCTGACCAGTGAAGAATGCTGGGGACCTCTCCCTCAAGCAGATGCTCGAACAAAGTGCTTAGAAAGGGTATTATTACCTTTGTAGGTAATGAACTTTTCCTTCCATAGGAAGTTTTTCAGGCACCTGTAGCCCCTGTTACAGCTGTGAGGAATGCTGGCATGTGCAGGAAAACAGCTTGCAGTGTGCTTGCAGCTTTGCTGGCTCCTTTTGGAAACAGGGTTTGTTTCCTTACAGGCTGCAAGCATGCCTAAGGGAAGCAGTGCTTGTCTCCTTTTGTGCGTGTGGGAAAGTGAGGGACTTGGTTTAATCATTGTTTTCTTCTTTGCTGTGGTTGATGTAGCTTCCATAGATTGATCCATTTTAAAGGTTTCTTGGGCCCAGCTGGTTGTGCTTCATTTTTGTCTTGTGTACAGAGTGCTCTCTGTACCCCATTAGCCTGGGCACATACTTTTGTTTTTGTTCTTGTCCTAGTGGGGATGTTTTTTATCATGAGATAATGTATGTCGTCACTTCTGATAGCAATTGTTTCCTGTGGAAACAGCAGCTTCTGAGTAAGAGGCTACCATAGCATGGGTTAAATTGCCTGTCATGCTGCATGTGCCTGAGGACACAGTGTCATCCTGTGGTGTATTCACAGCAGGAATTCTTCTAAAGGGAAACTAAGTATTTAATGCCCACAGTGCCAGTCTTCTGAAAAGATTTGTCCTAAGTTCAGTACACTTTGGAGGTACTTCAAAGACGTGAAATAGAGATGTACACTTCATATTCTGCCAAAGCAATGTCCTTGACAGCACTGGGCTGGTTGTGAGACCCAGCAAAGCTAACTTGTATTCTCTGTAGTCCCAAATGAACTATTTTAAAAAAAGGAAACATTTAAGAAATAATAAATACATTAGTCTATTTCCTTTTGCTTTCATACCCAGTAAGTTAGGAAACAAGTTCCATCTAAAGGAATTCACATTACATCTTTTCAGTCTACAAGCACCAAAATTCAGCTGTTCAGAGAATTAATACAAGGCAATATCTGGGTATAAGATTAAAAGAAAAGTTTCAATAAACACATTTTCTGTGTATAAAGCTTATTAAAAACTTATTCATTCTCTGAATTACTGAAGTAAGTGGTATGTGTTGGGAGAACAAACTCTGAAAGTTTGTGATTTTTGGATTTTTTTTTTTTTTGTTTTTAAGTCTTACCCTCTCCTTCCTCCACTAAAAAAGAAATGTGTTGTAGAAGCTATGGTATACTAGCTTGGTTATTCTGCTTGGTGTTTTGTAAAGGCCACCTAAGATACATTGTACTCTGTAACTAAAACACCATATTATGGTAAAAGTGGTTCTTAAAGATTGGAACATTCTGGCTCATGGTGATCCCAGATCTACTGGTCCCACACATTGTGGAGATCTCTGCTGGTACAAGTCTCTGCAGGCCATACCACAGACACCCTACACCTGCCTTCTGTGCTGGGTTTGACATGTAACACAAAACTCTATGTCCAGACTTACAGGCTAGCTGGCCATGATAGATGGTTTTTATAACAAAATGCCTTTCTACTACTTACATGAACAGTTGTGTTTGGCTCATGAGGCACTATTTAAAATGTTTTTAATTAAAATTGTCTTATAGCACTTAAAATTGTTTTGTATAAAATTTGCTGTAAAGATTTGTAATATGGTCAAAGGGCTCTTTCTCCTTCATTACCATTTTTAAAAATGTTTTAAAAGCTAGAAAGCATCTTGTATATATTCTGTATATGTATAGCAGCACATTTCATGTATGGAAATATGTTCTCAGAATATTTATTTACTAATATATTTATCTTAAGCCATGTCTTATGTTGAGAGTGTGTGACATTATTGTAATAATCATTGAAAATCACTAACACGAGGCCCTGTAAATACATGATAATTGCACACAAAGATTTTACAGTACTTGCCGACCAAAAATGATTTAAGACAAGTGTAGTTACTTGCAGTTTTGTAAGAAAGTGTACAAATGTCTGTATTAAAAGAAAAAAAAAAAAAAAAGGCAAAACCACACAAAAAATACAGTTTTATTGCATATACATGTGGGAGTTGTCCTTCTTGTTTTGGGGGAAAGGACATAGATAGCTGTTCTCGTCAAAGTATAGTCCTAGATATACTGAGATGAACTCTAATAAATAACATTTTTTTCCTTTTTCTAAAAATAACATATAGGTGGATATGTATATGCCTTTACACAGCACACCAGTTATTGGGGGGGAGTGGGGGGTAGGTGTCACACAAGCTCCTGAATGAGAAGTACCACATCTGCTAAAAGAAATCCTCATTTATGGGTGGAACCTGCCTGTTCCTTGTAGCAGGGGAACTTAACTCCTTTGTAATTTCAGGTAAAAGTAATTTATTGCCCTGAAATAAAATTGAGAGAGCATGATACAGGTGGACACAACTGGGTAAGTCATAGTTTGAATATTCAGTAGCTTGAATCAAGCTAGATGGAATCACTGGTGCTGCTGAAGTGAAAATCAATACTGTGGTACTTGTTTTGTCAGCAGAGAGCACAATTTCATCAGAGATGTTTATGCAGACAGCAGAGGAGGGAGCCTGGGGGGGTGTGGCTCTGTGTGTGTATGTACATGTGTATTTCTGTATGTTATTGTGTAAGCTCTTCACCTTCATGTATTATTCATTTCCCATCCAGCCATATAGTCACAGAGCCTTTTTCAGGATTCTCCAGCTTCTTCCTTATCCCAAAGATTTTTACCTGGTAATCCCCTGGATTTTCCCTGTCTCTCATCCATGTTCAAATGCACTGTAATTAATCACCTCAGGACTCAGCCAAGAAATGAGCCTTACTTCTCTGCAATGCTCCTTGTTTCATATGTGGTAACTCCATTTGGGATGACCATTCAAGAGAATTAATTAATAGTGGACCCTTCACAGCCTGAGTTCCCATCCTGTCTCAGGTGCAATGGAAAATCCTGTGTGGGAAGACAGGCATCATAGTGGAGAAGCAACAGGAGCAAGTGCTTCCCAATTAAGTATGTGCCCCTTTTTTCATGAAGTGAACAGAATCTTTGCAATTGCCAGTGATTACAGATATGCTTTTTATCTGCAAAATAGTTCATGAAACACTTGTTTTTACAAATAGCATTATGAGGGTGGCTGGTAATGTGTATTTTGAGACGTGACATCTGAGCCTCCCTTCTCTTCCCTCCCTTCACCTCCGTCTGCTGTTGCTGCTGGTGTTCTGTTTTCTCATTTCCTGTTCTGAAGAAAACTGTCAGGTGATTGTGCTTTTCAGAACAGGACAGACCACCAGCCTCAGTGTCCCACAGAATAATCAGTGAGCCCAGGTCCTGTCTCCATGAAAGACAGCGGTGGGCTGCTGGCTGAACTTGTGTGTGGTGCCAAGCTCTGTGGGGTATTCTGTCTAGTCTTTGTTGTGGCTTTTTAAAAAGGACTAAATGTAAATATTTCCTGTCCAAAATGAACATTTTGATACTTGGCAAGGGGGGAAGGTTCCTTTTCAGGTTTGATGTTTAAGGAACAAGTTTGTGACAAAATGAGAGTCTTGTGGGGCACCACAAACCTCCACAGAACCTCGATAAAGTAGAAAAAGCCAAGCAGGAGCAGATTATTCTTAAGGGATTGTACATTATGGTAACACTTGGTGTTCCTGTAACACTATCTGCAATACCCCATGCATCTGCCAAATCCTATGACAGCTGTTAGGTAACGTTTGTTACTTGGGTAGTGTGAAGAGAAAAATGCCCTTAATAGGACAGCCATGTTCATACCCTGTGGAGCCAGCCTGGCCTAATTCTCTGGCCAGGGAGACAATAACATACCTGAAACCAGATATTTTATCTTGCAGTGAAAGCACTGTGCTCCTGTGACTTAAATGCCTCACAGAAAAGTGTCTCTTTCAGAATAAAAAACACGTTTCCCTCATGGGGAATGAAACTGCTGCTTAGGAAACAACCAAGAAAAAAGAAGGGAACAGTTCCCAGAAAGAACCAAAAGTGCCAGAGTCTCATAAACTGGAATGGCAAGAAAGGAGAGGAGAGTCCAGTCCCCTGTGACAATTGTGTTTCTAAAAGAAAAATGAGTCTTCACATGAAAAGCTGGAGACAGTTTTGGTATTTGTCACTGGTTTTCTGGTGTTTACATAAAACGTTGCTGAAGGTTTCTTAAACTGTAGCATTATTTTGGCCAGGAGGAATTAATTAGAGAAAAGATGAATCTTGCAAGCAAGTGGAAACAGCATTACACATTGCTAAAATTTGCAAAGCAAACACCAAAAGACTTGTTACAGTTCTTTCTAAAAGTTTGAAAACACAAAATGAAAACTTTCAATTTGTTGTTACCTCAAAAATTGTGTCTCAGAGCAATGTCATACTTTATATATAAAGTAATAATTCTCAGCTCTAATATTCCGTAGTAACATGTATAACAGGCAGTGCTCTTGTAATCTGCTAGTGAACTGCAGCAGTTTCTGCCTCCTTTATTTCATATTTGTACACATGTTTGTCATCCCAACAACTCCTCCTGCACAAATACACTGTATTTGTTTTTTCATAATTATTATTTACAACATTTGCTGAATGCAGGGTGAACAGTTATAAACACAGCACGTACTTCAGCAGCGAGTCATTTCAAATTTGATTTATTCTGGTTTCTTGACAGCTTTATGTGTGGTTCATGTGATAGCTTTTGGACTTGTAGCAAAATGTCTTCAGATTGAAGTTCACAATGCCAAATTTCATCCCAAAGCACAGGTGCTCAGTAAATTTGAGTGGCGTGAAAAGTGTGTGTAATGGGGAATTTTTCTTACACAAAAAATGGTATGGTCTGAAAACAATTGTATTTTTTACTCTCAAGGTAGCAGAATTGTTCATAAATGTCCAGAACAATATTCAGGTGAAACTATCAGTGAACTGTATTTCATTGGAAGATTGTGAAACGCTGCTGCAAGGCAGTAAGAACTAGTTGGACAAGTTTTTGTCAGGAGTTGTTTTTGTAGTTCACCCTTCCTTTAGGCAAAGTGGTGCGCTAGAAAAATCTGTTCCTTCCCATTGCCTGAGAAGGCTTATTAAACAGAAGATGAAAGTGGAATAGCTACTTATGCTCATTCAGTGGCAGCCATGTGTCTGCTGATGGGTTTGGCCTGTAGTCATCCAGGCTGCAGATTCAGTGCAGTTTCTAGGACTATCCATAAATACTTCCTATTTATGCTGTTGCTGGGGGGGTTAGAATACATAGACTTTAATTCTGCAATCCCACTGGACTGTTTGTGTGAGCAATGTGATAAACTTCCTCAGCATTGTCCTGGCTGTAAAGAATTTGGCACAAACAAGTCCTAAAGAAGATAATGCTTGATTGAAAAAGCAGATTACATGTTTGGTGGTAAAAATCATCCAAAGAGATGCACATGAATTTGCAGAATCTGATGAACAGCCTAATACAATTACAGGCTAGAAATGAGATTCAAAGGAGGAAAGTATTTCTTACAGCAATTGTTTTATCAGCATCTATTCTGTCACAAAACTGAGGCTGAGTTCCCCTATTCTCAATGTCTGTCTATCATATATACCAAAGAAGTATCTTTGATTTTTTTTTTCCCTATGGTTACAGTGTATAGAAAATTTATTTTTCCCAGAGTGTAAACTAACATCTTTTCTTCCTATAAAATGTTAGCAAGATACAAGCATAATATGCTGTATTAAATAAGCATTTCCTATACATATACAAATATATATATATTACTATGATAACACATCACACATTTTTACATAACAACGTCTCTATTTTCCCACAACATAACAATATTAAGATAAAAATACATATAAAATCATGTAGTCAACAAACTAAGCTAGTTTTAAATGTAGATTTTGAACGAGGGAAGGCACTTGTCCAGCTGGCCCCTTTCCAGCTGAGCTCCACACACAGAGTAGGCTGCTGGAACTGGCTGCTGTGTGAAGGCAGCAGGCTCACGGATCGCTCTGTGGCAGTTCCAGAAGTGCTCATTGCCCCAGCTCCTGGGGCAGACATCTGTCCTTGTCCTATGGCTTATTGTCTGCTTAGCTGTGGATTCGGGGAGCTCTTAGCTCATCTCCCTGTGCAGCCACCCCAGGAGCAAGGCCAGAGAGCTCAGCTCTGTAAAAAGTAACTCAGGGAAGAAAAAGCCATGGCCATTTTTGACCCAATCAGTTTATTGCACCACGACACAGCTGGTCACACCAACACAAGAGTGAGTAGGGGGCCAGAGCAGGAGCTGAAATCCAAGTGAATGAGGAGGCAGCTCCTCATGATGATTTGGTTGTCACAACAGTTGCTTTTGACTCTGTAGTTACTGTCACATTTGCAGCCTGTCCAGCCTCTTGAGGGAACTGCTAGGCAGGAGCTCAGAAGGCCATTCAGATACAATTCCAAACAAATCCTTCTGCAGTTATTTTCAATTTGTCAAAGAAAATGGTGTAAACACCAACATCCTGACGTGTCCCTGCTCTCCATGCCAGCTCTCAGCTGGCTGTGTAGTGGGAGCATTTCTTTTTGGGATTACAACAGTTGTACATGGTCACACTTTCTGCTTCTTTCTCCCCCAAACCCTTACATCAAAGATCAAAACATGCTTTGTTAATGGATACCACATATCTTGGCCATAAATCAGCACACCTGAAGTGTCAGCACTACAAGTGTGAGTGACCCTACCACATTTTGAAAAAATCACACTGGAGATCTACCTGCTCATCATGGTCTCAGCCCTGTAAAGTAATAAGTGCTGTTTAAGGGACCCTGTCCATGAATTTCCATCCATTATTCTGTTTACTAGCACTAGAAGTATCTAGAATCAGCCAATCTGAAAGATTTGGTGGGGAATTACATAGTTTTTTCTATGCTTTTATCAGTGAATTACCCATGCACTGTGTAATATAGTCATGTTTATTGTTGCCATGACCAGTTAATCTGCTGGAAGTGCTGGTTTTATGGGACTTTTGTACATAAATTTGACTAATGTTCCCCATGAAAGTCCCATGAAAGACAATTTTATGTAAAAAAATATTTGAGGAGCTAAGAAAGCAATGCAAAAATCTCTCTCCTTGAATTCTCTAGATTTTTGCATTAGTAGCATCAGTCTTTGTTGCTGTTTGTTATGAAATTTTCTCTAATATTATAGTGAAATTAAATTCTTCACTGAGGAAGAGAAGCATAAAATTCTGAGTTTTTTCTTTCTGCAGTAGGTGTAACTCAGTCACTGGGTGTTCCTGATGTTTCTCCAGTTTATCCTCATTAGGTAAGTGCTTTATGAATGTCACTCTGCCAAAATGTTTAACTTGTATTTGATAAGGCAAGCAAAGTTTGATCACTTTGTGATAAGCACTATGTGCTTGTAACAGCTCCCGAGGATCCGGCACCGCACTGTGATTCTCTCTGCCTGCTTTCCTATTAGTGCACCAAATGAAGGATGCTTGGGAACCAACCTGCTTTGTTTTGCTCTGAATCTCTGAGGTGAACTCTTTCTCCTCACAGCACGATGCAAAACCTTACTTTTAAAAAATGCAATTTCAGAACTTTCGTTGGGCCTGAAACAGACAATGTTTTTTGGTCCAACATGATGACACATAAGAGAGAACCAGCACATTTTTTACAACTTGTCCTGTCTTCATTTCAGCTAATACTGTAATTATATTTTCCTGTATTCTTTCCAGCAGCTCACGCAAGAAAGTACTAGATGTTCCCATGCTATTCCATTTTTTATATAAACAATTCCATAATTGCTGGCTTAGTAAAGTCTGGTTTCTTTTAAGCATGCATTGTGATATTGTTCAGCTGTCTCTAGCACTCATCTGTGGTACATAAATCAAGCTGAACTGAATTCAGTTCAGGTAAAAGACCAGATCTCCAGTGGTAAGGCACAATATTTCACTGCTTAATTCTTTGGTGCCCTGTTTTTTCAATGAAATCTGTAGTTCTCACAAAAAGGAGGGAGTTATATGTTAAAAAACATAAGGGCAGATACTATAATGAATTTAGTGACAATTTTCTGACTTTTCTCAATTACCTTTTGCAGATGCACTTATTAGATGTTCTCTGACTGCACATCTGGCATATGCTGCAGACCACTGGCATATGCTCAAACTTAACCAGAATTACTGTGGTTTAATGGTTCTCAGTGAACCTCCTCTAACTGAGATTAAGGAGCTGCCCACTGTAAACTTTGCCAGACAATTTGACATTTGCATTGACAGTTTTCCCTAAATATCTTGCTGGTCTGAACTTGCTGGGGCTGAAAGACTCACTGCTGATCCCTTGGAATCACTTGTTTCCCACTTGTGATGGTGGGATGAGAAATCTGAGTATTTTGGATGGACAGTCAGTCTACCAAAGAGAAGAAATAGTTAATGCTGTCTGTTGCAATCAAAGAGAAAATAATTCACAGATCAGAACCCCACTGATGTTTTAGTTCTTTGACAATTAAGGCAATTACCTTAAAATTCAGTTCAGTTTTAGTGCTGCAGGCAAAGAGACATTTCTCCTCACAGGTAAATATCAAGGCAGCTGTTTCTTGCATGTTCAGATGCACAGTCTGGTCCAGGTGAATTGGTGATAGCAGCCTACAACTTTGTAAATAGTTTGGGCTGCTGAGATTAACACATGTGAGTTCAGAGAAAAAATTTGTTAGCCTCACTGATAAAAATTCAGTGGATTACAGTATCTTTGGACAATCCTTTAAGAAGCCCTAAGCTTATACCCAGGATGAATGCTGGCTGTCAGGCTGGAGTACAATAGTTTTTTTAAAGGATCACTGTGAATATGAACAAAATTATCATAAACATCAGTGAATGATGGGTCAGAGAGAGTCATTTAAAAGGCTTCAATGCTTGTGCAGGCCTTGACCTGGTGAGCACTAGTCAATCAAATCGTGTATTTGTAGCTGAATCTTGTTTTAGAGTCATCCTGAATTTGATTCTTCATGTTTGCATCTCTGCTTGTAGACACAAACAGAAAATGCAAAAAGAGCACAGCACTGAGCAACCAGGCTGATAATTTTTCCAGTCTTTGATTCCTATTCTACTGTATAGGAGTATGTAAACACAGTTAGATGTGTTTACATCAAGGTAAATCAGCTCTGCTTGCTGTGGTAGCTGAACAGGTTATCAGTACCCACCTCTCTCTTCAGCCTTGAGAATAAAAGGACTAAAGTAGCCTGATACAACACAGTGGCAAAGGCAAGTGGGACACAAGAAATCCTCAACCTGTAGATACCCCTTCAGTTACCTTTGACAGGGGTACAGGACATTTTGAATTTTACAAGTTTTTACATCTATTTTAAGTGCAATGGTTTAAAGGCAGTAATTAACAGCACTACAGACTTGAGAAGCACCAGGTATTTCAAAATTATTGCTGCAATGAAATCCGTTGTCACTGAGAACAGCAGATAGGCAAAGTCACTCAAAAGCCTTTGGAAACTGACTTTTCGAAAAGCAGGTATGAGATTGGGAGGAAAAAAAAGGAAGATTAATCTCAAGTCACCTGGATTTTAACAAGATCAATTCTTGCAAAATAAAAGACTTCAGTTTCCCACCAGTGGGTTGCAATCATCTTGTTGATTTCGAAGCTTTTTCTTAAAGATGGATATTGATGTGGATGGTTGGTAAAATATACTCCAGATCTCACCAGCAGTAGTGACATCACTGCAATCTTCTGTTTCAGCTGCAGCTGGAATCTGGTGGGACCTAGGAAACAAGAGTAAATTCACTCTTGTGTTACTGGGCTTGGGGAGCTATGGTTATTAATAAGTCTGCAGTACTCCTACACTGGGAGTGCTCACAGCTTCCACTACTTCTGTGACACTTCCCCTGCTGTGCAAAATGTAGGGTTTGGAGTGTTTCTTGGTTGTCTTCACCAAATGAAAAGTTAAGTATCCTTTTGCCACCCTAATGACAGCAGTGACATTAAGCTAAGAGGGCTCTACAGACTGTAGTTGTTATTTTTATAGTTACTATTAATACAAATTAATTTAAGCATGTTTGTACTACGTAAATACAATATTCAGCATTGTGATTTATTGATAACTCACCCATCATTTCATTCAGTGAGTGTCTATCTGGAGGACACAAAATTTACTTGGTACAAGTGTAATAACTAACTTGGTTTGGAATATGGCCAATCTGACAATCAGAAGGCAGAGAGAGGAGCCCCAGGCTTGGGTCAGAGCTGAGATCTTGGTTCTTTGTGGTTGGTTTTGCTCCACACTCACCTCATGGTAATGTGCAGAAGTATCTTTGCTATTATGGCTGTAACACTTAGGATGAGCAGTGCTGTTAGACTGTATATTGTCCATTCTACAAAAAAGAAGAGGGGAAGCTCTCAGTATATTCATTTACTTACAGTTTTTACAGTAAGAATGTTGCAGTAAAGGAGCAAACAGCCTTGTGATGCTTTGTTCAAATCTGTAATTTGACAATGCCTTAAATCTACAAGTATTTTCTGCAGACTGGCACAAACCGTAAAACTTTGTCAGAACCTTTTTTTTCCCTTGCAGAACTCCTCCCAGTAAAATTGAAAGCTGGCAAAATTCAAAGCATATCCTAGTAAAATTATCTAGGAAAGGAAGCAGATGTTCTTTTCTACCTACTGCCCCTTCCTCAAAGCATTGCCTGTACATGATGATTTGAACAGTATTTTTGGAACTGCATAGAATCCAAGGGTGCAGTTTCTATTGGAGTTCCTGGGGTAGTTTAACACTGGGCAGCTTAGGTTAACTGTGGTAAGTCAGGCATTAGGCTGGGCCTAGTCCCAGACTATTCCTAGGCACCTTCTGCACTTTGGCTGGTTTGGGTGTCTGCAGCTCATGTTTCAGGTTTGGGATGCAGCTTCAGCACTGTGGGAGCCTCCACAGTGGAACTGAGGCCCAGCTTCAGTGACAGATAAAAGCAGATGCCCAGGGTGGATTAACTACAGGAGAGAATAATAGTGATATTCACCTAGAGTGCATTTCCTGCCTTCAATTATTACAACTTCAATTTCCTGAATTCAATGATGTCCTGAAGGTGAGTTCTAAACACATGACAGTTCTCAGTGACCCCTCCCCTACACCCATTAACTTGTCTAGTCCTCTTTGTACTATTGATGAGGTTTTTGTTAATTGGGGTAACAGGGATGCAACCAGCATTCAAGCTATTCTAGACTACAAAAAGATTCTTTTTTCTTCAGCAACTTGTGTCCTTCTGTGGCATGCAGTGGTCACTAAAGCAGATTTCAGTAAGGAGGCTGCTCTGACTCACATTATTTTCATGTGCTTTCATTCTCAAGAACTCACCATCTTCACACTATTTCTGACTTAGGCTGAGAAGTGTTTTGAAATGTAATGAGAGAGTCCCAGTTAGTGCTAATTAACGGAATGGAAATTCATCTGTTAGTAAGATGCACAGTGGATCTGCTAACATGGAGGAGGCACCAAAGGAAATAGTGACTCCAGATTTTACTTTGGCAAAATATTTTTTTTCATTTCCACATTTTCTTGTATCATTACCAGGCATGGAGCTAGTTGGATGACTTGGGCTGGTTGTGATGACATAGAGGATCTTTGATGACCGGGCTGCGTTGATGCTGAGATTTGCTTGTTCATTCATCCTCTCTGAAAGGGTGTGATTCACTGGGGTCTTGTTTTGATGCACATTATCCTTCACAGCTGAAAACACAAGAGTATGATTACAATAACAATTTCTTAACAGGTGTAATTGGACTTCATTTTGTGCTTATAAATAGATACACAGCTCTCTGGTTTACTTAAGAGAACTCAAATAATCCAGTTATATCTGATTCCTAAAAAATCTGGAAGCTGATTGTTCCTCATAAAAGTAGGTACAACTCAAGGGCCAGAACATTTTGTCTTGATGACTTTCAGCTGGAGAGGAAGAGACTGTTGGAAGGAGCCAAGATGAACCAATGTGCAGATGGATTATTGTTTTGTTTTTTTTCCCCTTTGTCATTTTCCAATCTATCTTAACAGGAAGGTATAGAATTGAATTTTTGAAAACCTGTGTTTTCCTATTTATGATGTAGCTGACTGGAATGTTCTAAACTGAGAGAAATTTTGGCAAAACTTTTGCCCACTGAGTAGTGGCAACAAGAGAGATGAAACACCTGTTAGGTCAGAGCTAAAATATTTGCTCTTTAATTGCCGCTTCAGAAATCTCCTGTGTGAATTAAACGCTTCACTGAAAGGTAGAAACGGCAAAGGTAGCCTCTTACCTCTATACCTGATAGCAAATCCCTGGGCTTGATTGATGTCATCTGAGAAAAAGTACAAAATGACAAAATCCAAAGAGATGTTAAAGGTGTGGGGAGGCCGGTTCTTGCCATTAAAACGAGCTAGAACGTGATAGGTATAACCATCCAGCAGTTCCACCATATCTGTAGCATCTTTGATTTCAAAAAGGACAAAGGTGAAGTGGATTTGAGATGCTCCTGGAACTTGTATGGTCCAGTAACAGACTTTGCCTGTGCCATATGTATCAGGAAAATCTGGGGAATAGATCACAGCTGTAGCAGAAGTGTAATTCCCTCCACAGGCACCAATCAGGGCTGTGAAAACAAGAGGAAAGAGAGAAAAATGGGAAGAAAGAAAAGAGGTAATACATTAATTTTGCAAAGCTTTAGCACTCTGGAGATTCTAATACTTAAATGTGATTTAAAGGTACAGACTTGCTAGGCCAGCAGATGCACTCTGCAGCTGCTCTTTCCTTCCCACAGCACTGGGAGCACAGCCTCTGTTGCCTTTGCTTGGGATACTCTCCTTATGCCTCATCACTCTGACCCATGCATCAGTCTTGAATACTGCAACTACCCTTTGTCCTTGTGTGTAACCATGTACCCTTTCCTGCAGAAATGGGATCAAAGAGAAATCCCTGATTCAGGGGCTTCTACTCCATCCCTAGCAGGCAGGCAGGCAAGTGGATTAGTGACTATTAACTCTCACTGCTTAATGACTGACATTCCTTCACAGCTGTATGAAATTGAAAACTTCAAGCAACTCAAATGCTATCAACTGACAATGCACATCCCTACATGCACACACAATTTTTTACTCTCTAGTTAAGATCATTTCTTAGGGAATTTCTGATAGCTTAGTCCCACTTGTGAGGAAAATGAGAGAACCTCTGGAGCATGAGCAAACATCATTTCTTGGAAGAGCTATTTTGCATTATTAATGGATGGGAATTTTAGGCAGAGATGGAAAGCTGCTTTATTTTGTACCAAGTGGAGGTGTTTTGCCATTTGGTGTGCAACAGTTCTCACTGCTTTTGAGCCTTTTCCCTAATTTGCTGAACATGTGAGGCCTCTCCTTTGGGAAAAACTGAGCCTGCTTCAATACTTACTGTCAAAGAGAATGACTCTGCCATCCCCACCACAGGGCTGAGTGTGGTCTCCAAAGCAAACACTGTTGCATTCCGTACTGGCTGCCTCCCCGTATCTCCAGTAGTCAGGATTATTTCCACAGAAACAAGCATAACCTGATTCCATGCCTGCAAACTTTGACAACAAAGATGCATAAGAAAGGGAGGAAAAGTATTTGAAGGAGTGACAGCGGGAGGTTGTTTGAGCAAGAAAGCTGGCAGCAGAATATGTGTGTTTTGGAGAAGTAAGATTAGTCAGGGGAACCACCACAGGCTATTTTTGTTTGGGCTGTCAGGATGCTACTTAAGACCGGGGGAAAGATGGAATGGAGGGCACCCTGACACTCACAATTACAGTAAGCAATCACATTTTCTCCTGGCGTTACTCATTAGTCATTTGTACAGATTCCTCTGAAATCACCTTAAACTGTTGACTTCGGCAGGAGCTGATGCATGTTTGGATTGTGAGTTTATTTGAGGTCTCGCTGGTGCCAGTCAAAGGTGGTGGCTCTCCATGGTCCTTGTAACAGCCCAGATTTCCTGGCACTGGCAGGAGTAACACACAACAGTCATTCTAAAGGTGTGCCTGTAAACATCCCAGACCACTTCATGCACTACCTGGCCACTGAGCAGCTCTCTCTGTTGGGGGCTTGATTTTGCACTGTGGGAAGTGTTACTCTTTGTTATTCTTTGTTACTCTTTGTTACTCTTTGTTACTCTTTGTTACTCTTTGTTACTCTTTGTACTGCACTCTGTATTATTCTTGTCATATTTTCCAAACACACCCAGGGATGAGTGATGGGACAAAAGAGTATCATCTCTTCTCAGCAATATACCTGTAAGACTTTCTAGCTGGTTTCAGTAAGCTGCAGTAAAATAGACAAGATAAATGTTCATTTCTCCTGAAAGAGGCAATTAAAAAATCCCAAGGCATTAAATGGGTTCAGGGGCATTGTGTTTTTGTTGGTTTTTTTTTTTTACTATTGCATGCATATTCTGAAAATGTAAATTAAACTGTGTGATTTCTGTCTGATCTTCCAAACAATTATATTCTGGAAGTTTTCAAAACAGGATATTTGAGGAAGGGAACCTAAAGATAAACCACCCATGTTATAGAATGGAGTTTGGCAAGTTTTATGGGAGGGACTATATACTTATATAGGGGAATTTCCTAATATTTGAAACTTGAATTCTGATATGAATCTAAAGCATTGTACAATGAGATTAAAAACGAGCAATATTACTTTAAAAAGCAACCCATCTATTTACATCAACATGATGTTTCAAGGTTCCTTGGTCACTATGGGAGATCAGTTTTCCCCCTTCAGTGCTGTTTGTTTTTGGTTTTGCACTTTTCTTCAAAGCAATGGCCACCCTCCAAAAGAGGATGTGGAGTACAACACAGTGCTGTGCTAATGGCATAAAATTATCCCTTGCCCACTTGTCATATCTATTCACATAGCTGAAATTAAATCTGATACTAAGCTAGGTCTATGTTAAGATAAATTTTATTCCTATGCCAGATTGACATGGATTCTTCTTGTCCACCTAAGTGCCACAGCTCTGTATGACATGATGTGCTCAGAGACCTGTATGAGTGTTTTATTTATGTAGTCATTGGTTATTACAGTACCCAGTAAACTTATTATAAATAATGACATAATGTTGCTACAAATATTGTTCATAAATTAATTTTGTTCTCTAAGAATACAATTTCAATTATAAATACTTGCAGGGAGTTATGGCTTTGATATGCCCCACAGCAACATTCGTGTAAGTTCTGAGACTTCAAGTTACAGCCTGATTTAACATACCTTTGGAAATCCCCACTTGCAGCCCCACCCCAGCTGAGTACAGCTGGGCAGATAACTCTGAGAGAGCTCATTCTTTTTTGTATTGTGCATGATTTCACAGCCCTGAAGAATCTTCCAAGTTATCCAACCTAGCTCATTTTCCTAAGAGACCTGGGATTTTAATTTTTTTTTTCTTTTTTAAAGTAGCTTTATTAGTGAGACCTTTCAACCTTGGCTCCAGAGGATTGGTACTTCAGTATGTTCCATGCTAAGAAACCTGAGTAATTTTAAAACTTCTTAAATTTTTTAACTAAATCAAGCGTACATCCTAAGACTAATTAGTCTCTTTGGTGTCCCAGCAGTATTTTAACCTTCTTTGCTCTTAATGTTTAGCCTGCTAAAGAAACTTGGCACAAAATGAGGCAGTCAGTGTTCTGCAATTACTGTTCATGCTCCCCAGTGATGTTTTACTATTACACTGTCTTCACCCATTTGTATCTATTTGTCCTCTTCTGCTTAAAAGGTCACCTCTTTTGCATAAGCATATTATTTTTCTTTTAAGCAGCATTTGACATAACGAGGTCCTGGCAAACACCACAGCTTCTGCGTTTTACATGTTAAGGCACGTATTAAATGTATTCAAATATGGAATTAATCATTTTGAGCTCAAAACCATGTTCCAGCTATGCTCATCTAGCTGTCTTTGAAGAGTCTCCTAGTTTTTTGCAATGGCAGTCTGCACAAATTGTTTGAACTGTCCTTGTTCCTTTGTTCCATATAGCTCTGTAGAACTTACCTGGCCCTGCCATTTAACACCTCCTCAATATTTCAGTCAAATTTATTACATTACATACATGCACTCTGGAAATACGATTCCAGAAATCTCTTTATGGGGAGAGAGTCATGTGAGTCACAAACATGAAAATGTAATTAAGTGGTATAGCAAGCCTTTCTTTCTTTCTTTCACATTTTGGAAGTGTAAGTTGTTATTTCCTTTGAACTTAAACCTAACCTCATTAACAAGGAGACCAAGAAAGTTGGGAATAGCTGCAACACTGCAAACAAACCATCTGAAGCATTCAGTTCCGAATCCTCCATGTGAGATGCACATGTTCTCCCAGGACTTGGAGCTGCAGTCTTGCCTTTTATTTTGTTTCTGTCCATTCCAGTCTGCTTAGCAGACACCAAGGAGGAGAGAGGAAGAAAAGGGAAGCTCCTCCTGGAGTAACTACCACTGTCTCCAGTGATTATGCTCATCCATCTTCATCTAACACTGCTAAATTCTGTACATTACATGTGCAGAATGTCAGAACACATTTCTGACTGAAGAACGTAGTGTTATGTGTTAGGGAATATTAGGGAATGAGACACATGATATAATCATGTGAATTCATCACCATAATGAAAAATTCTTAACTAGATTCTTAATTATTGTTGAGATGAGTCATTGCATGCAAATCTCTCTAGGCAATCAAGATGCTTCATGTTGTTGGCACTGCCATGGTATTATGTGGGCACAGTTAATAAGTAACTTATGTTCCAGATAATTTTCTAGTAGTAAATATCATTAAGGAAAAGAAGCTTATATAAGAAATTTTTCTCTAAAAATTTTCAAATAGGAATTTTTTTACACAATTGCTTTCTTGTTCCATCACAAAACTCAAGTTTTGTATTGTGCACTTCACAAGATAGTTTTGATGGTCCTATGACTTAGCATCATGCTTACTGAAAACAGAAAGTCTGGTGAAGAATAAAAGATTTTTTTACTTACACAGCTTCATAAACCATGAGGTTTGTATTAAGATTTGGATGGGCTTGCAATGTACAGTTTGCTCTAAATTGCTGCAATTCCTTTTTCTAGTATCGAGTTTCAGTGCAATGCTTGAAGCAGCTGCTACTGGTCAAAAGGACATTTTGTAAATGTAAGTCTGGATTATCTGTGCAAGTAAGTGTCCAAGTTTAAATCCTCTGCTCCCCACCACAGAGAAAATGAGCGAGGCTGCTTTTAAAAGGATCCTTTGTGTAGAACAAATGGAGTGGAGAGAATTTGCCTTTCAGCTTTTTTCCTGGTGCCATATCCAGATAATTTGTTAACATCTGTGGTCTTTAAAGAAAATGCAAATTCTTTCATTTTAGACCAAGTTAAATTTCTTAATTAGGAGTGTCAGGTTTCTTAAATCATGCCTGGTATATTAGAAAAATAAGAGTAAGATGCCCTCTGAACAATGAGTATCAGATTGTTGAATGATTTTGTGTTATTTAAATTAGACCCCTTAATCTGAATTTAAGTCTAGGTAAAAGGCATCTGTCTTAAGGTCACACTTATGTATTTGTTTGCCTAGCATGAAGATGTGAGTCATTCACATTCATAAAACCAAAACAACAAAGCTATGAACAAAATTTAAAAAAAAAAAAATCACTTAAGCTCCTTTTTTCTTGTTTTGTTTTCTTAACTTCAAGTAAGAAATATACTTCTTCCAATCAAATGTGTATCTACATATGGACACCTGTTCTGGTGCTTAGCAGTGAACACCCAAGTTATGCCTTAGAAACAGAGGGTACTTGCACAGAAGAAGTTAGGAAAGCAAGTGAAAACATTAATGATTAGACTTACTAAAATGTATAGCTATGGTTGCTTGTTAACAGACAAAACTCGGTTTTCTTAATATTTGGGCATATTTTAAAAAGAAGTGATTGGGGAAAGACAGTTTTGGAACATCCTGACACAAATCATGACATGATATTGTGGACACGGTAAAAAATAGAATACATAAAAAATACTAAATTCTGGAAAGAAGCTTCATGTAAGTAGCTTGTGAATTATCTGATTAAAAAAAAAAATCAAAGTCCAGGTTGTGGTTTCATAGCAATTCTAAGTATCTGCACCTGTCAGAATTCTAGAATTCACTGTGCCCTCTCATACTTTTTGTTTCCTCCAAGCAATTCTGTGTATGATGCTCTATACACATTAAACTAATTTAATTCATTTTATGAGCTAATTGCAATGGATGGATGTGTATATACCTTGTAAAAACTTTCCCTTTTTTGTTTTTGTTCTAGATTTTGATAAATTAATGATCTATGGATTAAAAGAACTAGCAGTACTTCACATGTTTTGTGTGATTCCCTGTCATACAGTATTATTTGTAAATAATATAATCCAATATAATTTTGAGATCAGATGAAAAGGATAGCAGTGGAGAAATAATTCAATAAGCTTGTCATAAACCCTAAGAAACTTGTTTAAAATACAGCTTAGTCTGCAACTGAAAATAAGCTGTTTTGCCTTATCCTGGTTTGTGTTTGGAAATCACCACCCACTGTTGTATAACTGCCAATCTCTGCTCAACTGAGATGCAGGCCTAAATAAATTGCAATGTGCTCTTACTTCGGCAGGATGGAATCTCACAGTACTTCCAGTATATTCCATCTTCATGTTCTGCAATGTAGCACCATGGGCTGACATCCCCATCAGGGTTTCTGAAAAACAGCCAGTGAAATTCATATTTTTTTTTTTTCAAAAACCCCACACACAAAAAAACCCAATCAATCTTATTAAACCTCAATGGCATTACTATTTTTGCTTTAATACCTACTGTTGAACTTATATACCAAGAAAAATGCAAAGTTTTGCATTATCAGGAAGTTTAGATAGCTTTGGTTATTACAGTATTCATCAAGCATAAGATGCTAGTAATGTCTAAAATATAGCTTTGTTTTACTCTAAGATTAAAAGGTGCAGAGCTATTTCTGCAGAGAGGAAGATTTTCTGTCTCACATCCTGTGTACAGGTTCCACAGACTCATAAACTTGATTTTCTGCCTTGGTACAAAACTGCCCAGACTCCAACTTTCTGTGTGTATGGTGATAAAAACACTTAGCTGATTAAATCTTCTGGGATAGACTGAATTATTTTCCTCCCCTTCAATAAAACTGACTAAATCCATTCCAATGATTGCTTTATATTGATGGTTAATTCCTTATGTGTCCATGATGACGATGATCACTATTTTTATAATTATTTGCTGTTGTGTAGCATTTTACAAATGCATACCTCATTAGTCATTAAGTTATTTAAAGTTTTTTTCTATGTACACTGTGAAAAGCTATTCACATTGTTAAGATCTGTTTAAGAGAATAAATTGTTATTTTGGACAGTCAGGTTGAAATATGACTTTTCCTTTTAACTAGGACCAGTTGCAATCTTTTTTATCATGAACTTTGGCATGAATTCTATTAATGACACAGCCCTACTGATGTGTCAGTTCAGCTGCATGTTGTCATTTACGCCTATTAGCAACTCTTTTGTGGGAGATCCAATTTTAGAAATTCTGTGGATGTTTTTTGGCCAAACAGCAGACTGCTGAAAACAACTGGTGAGTTGAGTGCAGTTTAGATGACTAAAATGTTGCTAGTTAGGCTTTCAAACAGATTAGTAGAGGTAGTGAACAAGGAAAGTCTAAGACTAGCTATGCTAGGAATTTAGATGTAATGCAAGAGCCTCCAGTAGCTAAAAAAAGTAGAAGACTAAAACCAAGTGAAGCTTGTACTTGAACTAACCCTTTTTCCCTTGTTTCCAGAGTTAAAGGAATTTCAGCATTTACATCTTCATGACAGAAACCGTATGTCTGGAATTCAATCATGATAACAGCACTCTACGTATAAATGCCTTAAAAATGTGAGGAAATTGTAGAGAAACATGATGAATGTCTTTAGAAATCTTTGTCTTGAACCTCAGAAGTGCATGCAGTTAGAAAACAACTCTCTGTCTTTCAAAATCTCAAAAAATTTCAGTCTTCATAATTTTGTTATGGTTGAAATAAGTGGAATGCTATAAGCCATTTCCATCTTAACAGGGTGTCTTGCAATAAACAAAATATTCCAAGTAAGGACCACCCATGGAGAGGTAACATGTTTCTGATTCATACTTCAAGTGTAAAATTCGATTATTCAAATGTTGTCCCTAAAATCAAATCTGAAAGGGATGTATTATGCCTTAGAAAAGCCTTGTGAGGTATGTGCTGCCTGAGAAAAGGGAAGATCAGCTTGTCCATTGTCATCAAGCAGATGAATGTCAGAGAAAGAGCTAAAACAGCTGTATCACAGGCCTCGACAACATTTGCATGCTAAAGATATACTCTGGCACTCTCAGTGACTTTCTAAGCTTTCTTTCAAGAGAATTTGAAGTTAAAAGTCATCCATTAGTTAGGATTGTCATTCCATACACCTGGGAGAGTATTCCTAAGCCAGGTGATACAGCATAAAGAAGAAAATGCCTAACCTTCCAGGCAAATTTCACCTCAATGAGGATAATCAAATACCTAGCAGACTGAGGTAAAAAAAGCTCTATTTAGTAATTAAGTAATTTTTCAGGTTTACATATCAGATTATAGGCTTCTTGCTCCTAGTAACATTTATCAAGTTCTCATTTGCTAGGTAAAGTAAGACTCAAGTAAGTGTTGTTTGAATATCTGGGTAGACATTCATCTTCTCATGCATATTTTTGCACAGCTTGTAAATTTTTTGCTTTGTAGTAACCAAAATATTAGCCAGAGATGACTGCCAAAAGTAAGATCCTATAGATACAGCCTGTCTAGAATACTGCCACACAGCAACAATCAGAATAACATTATTGATTCTGCTATTTGTATCAGAGAGAATTCAGTGGCACTGTATTTTTCACAGCTCTGTATTAGTATGCCTCCTGAGACACAGAGCTTAAAAAAAGCCTGCAGAGCCAAAACATCTCAACTTCTGTTCTGATTTGGCTCCTAAATTCTGAAGTTCTTATTTTTGTTCTATCTATAGTTATGGAGGACTTCTCTAGAAGGCAAGGAAACAGAAGTGCATCTGCCATGGTTTAATCTGGTATTGTAACCCCAGACAGATGAGCTTCTGAATTCAAATAACTCTAAATGACTGATGGAATTTTTAGTGACTACGTAACTTTCATTAGAACAAAACTTTAGTACAAAATTTGGAGAATGTAACAGAACCAGGCTTGTGTGTGAGGATAAAAAACATCCAGAGACTCCTCCAGACAGTTAACTGCTGTACTTCTAATTTGGATCATTTTATCTCCACCTTTTCATTTAAGTAATCTATAGTCTGTCGTGCCACCTTAAAAACTGGACACATGATTTGGACTGTGCTGAAAAAGTGTGGGAACTGGGTTGAAAAAGTTATTCTACTAGTGTTGCTCGTAGATTCAGGGTACTGATTACAGGGCAAACCAAAAAGTGTTAGATACCCATGGTTCTGACATTCTTCACTGCACGACAGAATGTTTCCTAATTTTCTGTCAGCTGCTCAAAGTAACACTGGGTATACAGGCAGTGTTAAATATTTCTTACCTGCAGTAGTTATGCTCTCCAAGCCCTCCTTCCCCATTGGGATATTTCACAGTATTATAAGGATGCTCAAAGGTCTCATTCCAAAATAGACAAGGTTTCCCTGCATATTGGGAGGTCTGGTTCTGAGTGCCACGATAGTCAGCCCCATTTGCTGTATAGCATTCTGGGAAGAAAGAGAAATGGAAAAAGAAAGAATTAATGTAGGTTTAGTGTTTGTTCTTCCCTCACCCTCCACCCCATATCCAATAGACCATGGTTTCCTGCATTGTTTAGGCAGATAAAGATTTAAGCTTTCTCTCAGTCAAACCTCTATTCAAGAGATTATGATGTCATTACTTTAATAAACAATGTATAAAACAGGTCTGAAGAGAGATTTACACAACGTGCATTTTCTCAATAAGCATAATACTTTTTTACTGTTTTCTGACTCTGTAACTTTTTCATTTTCCAAAAATGAAATCATATGACATTATCCATCTGTTACTTACCAGCATATTAACCAAAATCTCATGCCACTTCAGTTAAAGTTGTCACTATCTGTACTTTACAAAGTGGAAGACTTAGTAAGCATGGATATTATCAACATTTACATTCTGATTTAGAAAAATTCTTAGGGATAGAATTGCCTTAGAAAGGGACCACCTTCAACAGAGTATAATCACAATACTGAGATTTGCTACTAAAGCATTTATGCTTTCAGATTAAATGTATGGCTCAGTATTCTCAGTATTCTATTTTCTCAAATATTCTATATTTGTTTTCCTAGCCTCCTTATACTCAGCAAGTTAGAAACCAAAGTAGAGAATTATTTCTCTAGTTACTAAATGCATTAGCCCCTTCTCAGCTGAACTACAAATTTCATGCTGCCTGGCTTTGCTGGGCCTTGTTAATCACAGAACCATAGAATGGTTCAGGTTGAAAGGAACCTTAGAGATCATCCAGTTCCAACCTCCCTGCCACAGGCATGGACATGTTCACTGGACATCTTCTGATGAAATAAATATCCCAATGCATGAACAATTGTACTTTTGCTGAAATTGCAAAACATTTTTTATTAAATTATGCAATGTGAGTGTGGCAAAGCATGGGAACAAGTTGCCCAGTGAGGCTGTAGAATCTCCATCCTTGGAGATATTCCAAAGCCACCTGGCCATGGTCCTGGACAACCTGCTTGAGCACAGCAGTTGGACAACATGAACTCCAGAGGTCACTTTCATCTCAACCAGTCTGTGATTATCTTACAAAAAGAATCATTATAATTAATTTACCATAAATAAGTCCATCCTGTTTATAATTAATACTTGCTAACATTTATCATCCTTGCATTTATTTAAGAATAGGATTAAAATGTAACAGTCTGTGACAGAATTAAAACTGCTGCGTTACACTGCTGTAAACATTTCTTTGTACTGGACAGCATTACGGGGGAAATCACAAATTCCCAAATGCTTTCTGCTAACTACAGGCTGTGAAACCTCCTGTTTCATCTGATAGTGTTCTCTTGTAGAAACCATATTGCAGCTGCAGAGATGTTCTACTGCCCTGAGGGAGTGGGAGAGTGCTCTGAAGTATGTGCTGATCTCAGGTGTCCCTCATGAGATCTAACTTACAAAACAAGTCTAGAAAGACCTGTGTGGCTGCAGTTGGAAGAGGAAAAAAAAAAACAACTCACCCACATTTTAATCCTGATATTAACAGTACACCGTTTTTGTTAGAACTACTGTAGAAGAAGGAAAAATATATTATTAACACCATGCTTCTGAAATTAGTTTAGTCTGGGCTCACAAATATCAGAGTGGTACAATTATAATAATTATTTCAGAGTTCTATTACACAGCAGATGAAAGACAATGGTTTTGTGCTTTCACTATGCATTTTCATGCCTAGGCAAGTTTGGATTTCTATTAAATGAAATTTTGTTGCTGAAGGCACACAGAAGAGCCATTAATGTATTCTGCTATCATCTGTGGACAGAAAGCTGTATAATTTCACAAAAACAAGCTTCAGGTCAATACTCCTCCTTACTGTAATTTACCTGCCTTAGCAATACAGGTGGGTTGCATACATTTGCTTAAAAATGCAAATCTGAGTTTCCAGTGTGTAAACATGGAAAAAAAACACTTTAAGGTCACAACTGTGTTTTAACTTTCTTCAATACCTCTTGTGCTTTGCAGTTAATATAAAAGCTTTTGTAGGTTATAGCTGAAAAGTATGAGCTGATGAATAGAGAAAAAAAGAGAGAAAAATGTAATCAAAATAGATAAAATAATATGCAGCAAAAAAAAATTGTGAAAAGTGATAAGCACATCCAGAAAATATAAATACATCAGCTTTGTGCTTTTATTTTGTTTTTGCTTCTCACTCCTAAATGAAAAGCAATATATACTTCCATCTACTCAGAAATGTAAGGAATGCAAAATACCTGAATGTAGTCTGGCACACAAACTAAACTGAAATTAACTTCAGTCCATTTTAGGATCTGCTAAGACTGGCCCATGCTTTAACAGGCAGTTGTGACTGACATTTTCATGTCAGCTTTTTTTAACTGATTTTCTTCAAACTTCACTGCACTTTAAGAAAAAAAGGAAGAGTCAGATCTCTCTTCATCCCTCTTAACTGCAGCTTTTTGTTCCCAAGACAATAGGTAGCTGTATCAGTGCCTCCTGTGTTCCTTTGCACTATCAAGAGATTTGGTGCAAATGTGCCAGCTGAGCTGTAACAAAGCTCCCCTGGCTTAGATGTGGATGTGGAAAGGGGAGGCAGTGAGACACCACAAAAAAATCATTGATTATCCCTGAAACACTCTAGTGAAAACTTTAAGTCATGGAATTTAGCAGCTGTTATCAAATGAAATACAAAACCTTTTGTGTTACAGGGAATTTGGATTTTGTTAAGGATTAATAACAGTTTTACCATAGCATGGGAGTGCAATATTTTCAAATAAATATTGGCAATTAAAAAAATCAGGTCAGTTGTCCTTGGCTATGCTCCCTCCTGGCTTCTTGTGCACCTGCTCACAGCTAAGCATGGAAAACTAAGAAGCCCTTGATTTAGAGTAAGCACTACTTGATACCAACTAAAAAATCAGTGTGTTATCAACACTATTCTCACACTAAATACAAAACACAGCACCACAGCAGCTACTAATGAAAAAAATCATACCAGCTGAAATCAGGACACAAGCCTACATTCTTTTACCTTGAACAGTCAGCTTTGAGATCTGCTGAGATATATTTTGCACAGTTTTCTGTAGAATTCCTAGCAGCATAGTTACAGATGTCAGCATATTCACTATCCTGGCAGTAAACAACTAAATTCTTCTGTCTAATGCACCCAGTGATTTCATCATATTTTGCTGCATGACAGCCAAGACACTACCTTAGTGATTTCACCATGAAATTAATACTCCCAGTGTGCTGAAGGTGCATGTTTCATCTGCAGAAAGGACACTGTCCTCTATTTCAAATCCAAGTCCAAAGAGATTCTGGAGAACACAAGGTTTGAACCTCCACCCTACTTTTCATCTTGTACCACTGGTGCAATAATACTGTGAAAAGATGAGCTTAAAAAAAGGTCACCTAGATTTGTCTGCACAAAACTAATTCAGATGAGGTCATCTAAATTAAACAGTTAGGAAAGACTAGACTGAACACTGTTGGTGAAACTCTTACTCAAATCACCTGATTTCTCTTTGGTAGCTTATGCAAAAGGGAGAGGGAAAAGAGTAAATCAACCAGCAACAACCACCTCTCTGTGTTGTGGCACCCACTGGATCCAACTGCCTTAGGGTGAGTGATACTACCATGACAATTTTAGGGTATGAAGTCCCTCGCTTGGAATGTAATATCAGAACTGTGACTCAGGAAAATTAATACCACTTCTATGAATTTCAGCAAGCCTTATAACTTAAAGTTTTGTAAGATTATGTTAAACTATGACAGAACTTGCACTGTATCCAAGTCCTTTCCCAGTGGCAAAGACAGCAAGGGAAGAACAAACACATTGTGGACACCACAGCTGTCAGCTCCCAAGAAGGCACCGGTGCTTGACAGATTTGCCACATGGATTTTGTTCATGCACGCAAGGTTCAAACTGTCCTGTCAGCTATAAACCTCTACTAAAACACTCAGGTTTCAGACAGGACATGAAGAAAGCTGTGACCACTCAAATCTAGAAAAGTGTGACCTCATAATTCTAAGATCTTAGTCAGCTGGGTTTCAGACATAGTCTGAAGCAGAGGCTTATGTCAGATCTGTGATTAGAATCAGTGTCCGTGATGATTTCACTCAATTAACTGCCTAATGACCCTGCTGCTTCTACTGTGTCATGGGGATGGCTTTAAAGATAATTAATCAGAGATTAATCAGCAATAATTAATCAGAGAACCTTTGCAGTGGTTCCAGTCACAAAAGGTTCCAACAGGTGCTGTTCAGGCTAATGTTCATGAGCCTTAGTGAGAAAACACAGACAGCACTTTGTTGTCAGGGCTGTTTTGTTTTCAACACATCAGGTGCCATGGCTGACAAAGCAAGTAACTTTTTTAAATGAATGCTGAGACTAGGTAAGTATGTATTGAGTGACAACTGCTAGAACAGAAAAGCAGAAAACAAGACTAGGGATGTTGTCCACTATAAGTGAATACTCAGTGTGTGATACAGGTTCACAATTAGTTTTATTAGAGCCAGATCAACATTTGGAAGATCAAACAGCAGCTGTTGTAGAAATTCTTTCCATCTGTGTCGGTTTCTTCTTCAATGTAGGGACCTTACAATGATCATTTTCCTTTGTTACTTTGGGACTGCATGGCTGCCTGCACTCCACATGGGCGCCACTTTAGGATCATTTGAAAAATTAAGGTAGTTCAGACTATAATAGCCTGACTTTTTCACTGATGATAAATCACTGACATTTCAGAATCTGCATTAGCCTCCAATGATTTTCTCCAAGACATCTATCCAGAGAGACACTACAAATTGCAGACTGAAGGGATGGAGGTTTCAGGATGGTTTAAATGACTTCTTAGAGTACTTTCCAAGTTTGAGGCCTGTACATAGTTTTTGAGACTGAAAATTCAGAATGACAAACTTCTTCCTATTCCACAGGAAAGCAAAAAAAAACAACCCAAACCGCTTTGTTTGCTTAATGTTTTGGAAGCTGCTTGGAGCACTGAGTAGTGTCCAGAGAGACTGACAACAATTATCAACCTGAAACTAGCCTACCCAAGCCAGAAATTATCCTACCACCTACTGCCCAACAAAAAGCAAGGTTTGCTTTTAAAGGTCTGCAGATTAATGAAAGATAAATGAAAGTGGTTGTTATTTAAATCTTGGGTTTCATTACAGCGGTGTAATTAAACGTTCTGTAAGGTTGGACCAAAAATTAAGGGTTCTTTGAATTTACATGGTATAACTGCATGCTCAGTTTTCACTTGTTTTTCCTACAGCCTTTTAGAAAAGTCAGAAAAATGCTTAAGCAGAATATAAGGGTAAAAACCCAAGGGTGCCAGGTCCGATAATGACTCAGTGTGGGTTGCCTGATGCATGTGTTTGCATAGTATTCCAAGAATAGTTTTAAGTCATTTCCATTCTATCTAAACTGTTCTAGTTCTTGCTGGAGATTGAAATTTAAGCACTCCTCCTTAAATGAAAGCACTGTATCTAGGTGCAGATGGCAACAGTTACAGGCACTAACCAGATGCTGCAGTCTCTAATTTGATTGAAAGGGTATAATTAGACAGCAGAAACACTTCAATGAGAAAGTAACGCAGAGAGGAAAGGACAGAAACCACTTAACTGATGCCAAGATACCCCGGCAGTGACAGAGGCAGGGGCCCACGGGTGGAAGGGGCAAAACACCACATCACCTTCTTCAAATGAGAACATTTTTGTTTCCCTAGAGATGTGAATAGGGATTCTATTATCATAGGTTGCCACAGTTCTTCATGTGGGAACACTGATTAAAACCAGAAGAAGCTTCAGGAGATGAAAGACACAAATATGGCTTCTGTGGTCATTATTAAAAATATTTTTAGCATTGAAATGGTTTTCTTTGAAGACGAAGTTTTATCGACTGAACCAAAAGTTAATTTGCATACTATCATATGAGTGGTCAGGAAAAAAAAAATCTCATTCCATATTATGTTATGATGCAAAATAAATGCTTTTGGGAAGTACAAGGCTGATTTAGATCTACCCGAGTAAAAAAATAGTGTAGTACTTTTACATTTCAATACTTTTCTATTCCAATTCATTCTAATGTAATACAACCACTCATCAAAACTATCAGGCTTCTGTGTCTGTGCTGTTACAGTAAAAACCCCCAATAACAGAACAGCTGGTACAAGCTAAAGAAAAGAATTACAAAAGAATTATCTTTGTTTAAAATTGCAATTTTCAAAATTCCTAGAAAACAACTCCCTGTTTCTTAAATCACACAGTTAAGTTTTGATGTGATGCTATGAGGTCACTTGATTAGCTGATCATTTTTTCCTTTACAGTGTGGAAGCACTCCACATGTAATTTCAAAATTGTATCCTGCTCATTCTACATATCCATGCAAACACACACACAGACATACCCATACAATATTTGAAAGTCCTCAAATGCAATCCTTTTTGCTAGTCAGAATTAGAGAGCTAATTAGCATTGGTCCAAGCCAGAGGGTAGCCACAGTGAATATCTGATTATACTTGAATTATGCCACCTGAGATTTGATCAAACCTTGACTGAAGCATCTCTCTTGTAAAAATGAACATTCCTGGAAATGTACAGACATGCAGAGTTGATTCTTGTGTTCCCTGGCAGTGTGTGAGCTGTCATATATGTGAACTTGCTATCCTTGTGAAATTTTGACTCTAATCATCAAGCTAATCACTTTTCATCAATCTTTTTTTTTTGTTAAAAAAACCAAAACAACAAACCCCAAAACAACCTGTCTGGCCAAACCTTTTCTGGAACATGTTGGAAGCAGGCAAGTTAGGTTATAAGCACAAGAGACAGTTCCCATTATTTCTCAATGCATTCTGTCCCTTTTTTCTTTTTATTTGTACAACACAAACATTCTATATTAGCCAGAGCTTTGCAGCTGCTGGCTGGTCGTCAGCCTCAAGATGCAAACACACTTGCTTGCCTTGTGATTCTTTATCACTGCAAGTAAGAATGCGTGATGTGACCCCATAAGAATTTCTGTTCCTTAATACACCCATTTGTTTTCTTTCTTTGTGAAGTTTTAAAACTGTTGTTCCCTTGTCAAGTGTGGCAGGCTGAATCCCTTTGGCAATTTTATCAGGATGGGCCATAGCCACTGTGTGGATGAAGGGAGTGGTCAAGTGCACAACCATTATGGTGTGATATGACAAAAATGAAAATTTTGCAGCTGGCAGCATGTAATCCCTGCCTCCCTCCTACTTCTTTGGCTCCATCCTGCTTAAATCCATTCACATAACTCTGGATTTTGAGTTATGCTCTATGCATGTACAAGCATGATATGCTGAAATGTCTGACTATTTCATCCCCTATCTGCCTAGTTAGAAAGAAAAAAAAAATTGCTTTTGAAAGTATTTTCATGAGGCTTGCTTATGGCATATCAAGTAGAACTACTCTGAATCACCAAGGCATAGACAGAATAAGATGACAAGAGATAGCAGGTTTGTAAGAGAAGGCTGGAACAGCTCAAAGGAAAGACTCAGCTGGGAAAAAACCAAGAACGAGGTGACTCAGTATTGCTAAATGGAAAGAAAACAGAGAATGGAAAGAGAAAATGATAATCACATATATTTCTGATGGGGAAATTAAATGAATACTATAAATACAGAAACTAAGAAATTATAACTTATTGCACTGAGTATGTAAAGTAACATTTGTTCACCAAAACTAACATTTGCTAAAGGCATTTCCATTTCTTTGGCCTTGTAACATGAAACTCAGCAAATTCAAAGAGTCCTTTAATGGTAGGTAGTCTATTCACACACTTCTTATTTCTGATCCACTTGAGAAATTATATATGGCTGATGTTTGAATGCAGAAATGTCAGTGTTTGAATTAATAGAAACTGTTAGATATCACACAGTGAAGCAGAAACATTCTGTGAAAAGTAGCATAGTACTATGTGCAAAAATGGTTGTTAATTCACTTTCATTTCTGACAACTGGAGTAATTTTTCATAAACTAATTCCAGAAGTTTTTCTCCTATCTCAGCAAATGATGGGGACACAGACTTTATTCTGATTGCACTTTACAATAAGCTTATAAGGACATGCATTAAAAAAAAACCAAAAAAAAGAACAGGCATTAAAAACATGCCCTATGACAAACTACCTTCCGAAAGCAATAGCAATGCTTGTAATTTCAGAATTCTGCTAGTTTCAAGTGCAACCTGACACAGCTGATCCCACTTCAATTCTTTGGGATTAAGGATCAAGACAAAGATCCTGATGTGTACCTTGTGCAGATTAGGAACTCTGCCACACAAATTACAAGTTGATGTATTTGCACCGTTTCCAGGTTCTTTAGCAGAAGACACATAGGTGGCATTACTTTCTAGATTCATTTTCCTTTGCTACACCTTCATTTGGAGGCATTATATATTCTTCCATCCTCCCCCTGCCCCAGCTGCTTGTGCTCAGGCATTTCTGTCCCCTTTAACAGCCAAACATTCACACTGGGCTATATCCTCCTCTTGCTATCACACAGCCCTCTGTGAGAGACATGGTTCCACAAGGAGTGTTGTGTTCAGAAACCTTACAAGCAAAACTAACTTCAACCTAAGCAAAGGAAGGAGCATCCCCTGTCTGCACCAAGCACATCCTAATGGTACTGGGAACAGACATGGTCCCTGTCTAGGCAATTCTCTAAATGCTTATCTGAAAACACTCTCATGTTTTACTTCTGAGAAGAGGTAAAGTTTACCAGAACTTTTTTCTTGTAAATTTTTTTTTATTAACTGAAAATGGCTATGCAAGTATTTTCCATATCTAATTAGGTACATCTACAAAAACTTGATGAGCAAGTATGTGTTCAAAAAGAAGTAGAGCAAATTCTACTTTGTAAGAAGAAACAGCAATTAAGAATACACAAAATGTATCCAGAAGGACCCCACGTCTGATGGCTGTGACCATCTGGAACTGCCACTTCTGATCATGCAAAGCATGGCCAATGTTTACCAGAGGAGAACCACAGTACTTGAAATCATTAGTAGCAACTAAAACGAGGACAAAAGGGTGCAGAGAAATTTTTAAGTGAAAAATCACCTTAGGAAGTGAAGCTTCAGGCTTCCCCGTCTCTTTGGCTGAACCTAAATGGTGAGAGGAGCCCAGGCTTGGCTGGGAGCTGGGGCAGCACACTGCGGACAGGCGGGATGCTCACCCTCTGCTGCCACAGGTTTTTCCTCAGTGACACAAACAATCGTACGCCCCTCTCCCTTTAAATGCCTCCATTCCGCCGACCTAGCTATCGAACCACTTCTACAGAGAAACGTGCTGCACTTCTCTCTCTCACATCACGCTTTCACAGGAGTTTCCGAGATCCCGGTTCAGCAAGCACGGGGAGAGCCTCAAACACCCACGAACTCCAGGCTAAAACACCCGCTGCGTGTTTGCACGAGCAGCTTCGAGCCCGGCACGGCTCTGGCGAGCAGGAAGAGACGTCGTCGCGACCTCGAAGAGGCGCTGCCGGGCGGCAGAGCCCTTCCGCGGGGGGCTGCGGGTTCGCGGGGCTCGGGGAGAGGCTGCCCCGCTCCCTCGCCGCTCAGCCCTGCGAGCAGCCCGGGGAGCAGCCCCGATCGCGCCCCCCTCCCGGCTCCCCGCGGAGCGGCACTCACCGGACAGAACGGGCTCGCGGCAGCAGCTCA